CAGGGATACTTTGATTGTGCTTTTCCTGCATGGCAGGGGGTTGGACTAGATGGACTATTTGCCTTTTCCAACTCTATTATTCTATGAGTTTGTAACCAAAGATAAATTACATCATTTCTTGTTGTGTACCCTCAAGTAATTTTCAACATATGACTCCATAAGATCAGCCCATCATGGGGTTTTCTTGGCATTGATTCAGAGGAGATTCATCCTGCTCACTGAGGCTGAGAGAATGTGACCTGCCCAAGAAAACCCAGTGCTTTTCCAAGGCTGAGCAGGGATTTTAATCCTGGTTTATCAGAGTCAGAATCCAACACACAAACAAGTATACTGTGCTAGCTCTCAACTGTATTTCAATGTCATATATCTATAAAATGAGGGTTAATTTTTCTAAATGCCAGAAAAGGTAATTAAAATAGATTGATTAAACTGGTATGTGAAACTAGGGTGGTGGGGATCGGGACAAGGAAGCATGAGTCTATTCCCTATCAGCAGTATGCCAATATATCTGTTTGTGTTTTTATTTTCCCAAAATGTTGACAGAAGGTGAAAGTATTTCCTTTGCGGAAATGTCTGCTTTTTGTCTGAAGAATTCTGCTTTTCTCTTTTCTTTTTTTAAAATCTAAGTGTTTATGAAAGATGGTCAGGATCTGGGCTCCTGCGCAGCCTATATTTTTCCCATCACTGCATTAAACTAACTAGCTAACTAACAAACAAACAGGTGATGTCATATTTCTCTAGAGCTCAAAGTTCAAAGGGGGGAAGGGAGAGAGAAAGCTCTTTTGTGAGATTGGTTGACTGGATCAATACATATCTCAGTAAATAAATATGGATTAAATAAATAAAAAATCCATAGTCACTTAAATACATAACGTCAGAAGGACAATTACTTCTCTTCTTATTATAAATGTGTACATTTAGACATTTTGCATGACAAAAGCTGGATTCTATCACTGAGATAAATCACATATATCATCCTTAAAGCATATACAGGCCACTAGGGTCAGAGAGCAATGCTGGATTTACAATAGCATCATGCAGCCTTCCTCAACCTGGCACTCTTCGGATGTGTTGGACTACAACACATAATGCATAGTCAATATAAGCTAGTTATGTTGATTAGGGTTATCAACTATCTGAAGGAAATTTTCTTTGAATCATGCTATTCAGAACTGCTTACATATATTCTTAATTTTTATAGCATGTGAAAAACCACCCAGAAAAAAAGGTTAAAAAATAGACAGTTTCATTTATTTTGCTGATAGAAGTACCTTTTGGTGTTGGTTTGCAATACCAAACATTTTTCAAATTTACCTTGGTAAACTTGTGACAACTTGAAGAAATATTATGTTCAGATTCATAAAATATTAGAGGACATTTTAAATCCAAATAAAACATGCACGTTTCCTGATGGAAGAACAATTAGAAAAGAAGCATGGAAGAATACAGGCAGTCCCCAAGTTATGAACAAGATAGGTTCTGTATGTTTGTTCTTAAGTTGAATTTGTTTGTAAGCTGTCCCTATGATAATTGGATTTTGAAAAATTTGGCTTGTGGAAACAAGGATTGGTGAGAAAGCTTCAGTTCAATTTCCCTTCCTAGGGGTTGATTTCTCTCACTTCTTGTTGACTCACCCCTGTTCTTAACTATGAGTAGTTTGTAAGTTGGATATTTACCACTTGAGGACTGCCTATAATCTTGTACATTATTAAAGCTGTCAGACTTCTGTATGCACAAAGATGGAACAATAGCTATACACTAATGCAAAAAGATTGGTTGATAAGACCAAATGACCTTGCTGAGATGAACAAACTGACAATTTTTCTTAATGATATATCTTAGCAAATTTAAGAAGCAATGAGATTTGGCAATTATTTTTTAGAGACAGCATTGGGGGAATTGATTGGTTTTAGGTTCTGAGGATTAGTAGTTAGATTTGATGTAGAAGTGCAAATAGCAGATTAGGTTACAGAAAGTACACACACATACACACATTATATAAATATGTATGTATAAAAACACTGGTTTATAACAAAAATAACTCAAGACTACACTCAAAAGAAGAACTGGATTACGTTGGAAAACTTGGGGAACCCTTGTAGAGGTTGTTCATAATCAAAGGATAAAAGATGCTTGAATCTAAGAAATTACTATAATTTTAGAGATACAAATGAAAATACACTCCTGATCAGATCTCTCAGAGCTGAGAATATGCGAATAATAGACAAATCACACTCTCTCAGCCAAGCCTCTCTAAACAAATCTTGCCAAGAAAACTCCATAACAGGTTGGCCTAATAGTTGCCATAAACTGGAAACTTGAAAGCACAGAAAGACACGAAAGGATGAAAAAGGGAAATACAAGCCTAAATGTAGATTTCTAAGGCCCGTGGGCTTTCCCCACACTGACCTGGGGAGGAGCAAAGTTGTGTGTTTCAAAGAATCTCTCATTCCCTGCTTTCATAAGGTGCTGATAATTTTGCATTAGTCCCAGGGCAGCCCTATTGTCACGAGGCAGGTGTTCAAGGGGTAGATTTAGTGAAGACATCAATTCCATTATATTTCTGTCAACCCTTCATTGTTTGTTTACTTAGCAGTTCTCCCTTCTGCTGAGACTTTTATGCATGTGCCTTGGATGATATATAGTAGGGCCTCACAATGACACCAGTGCCATATGCCATCATTGTCCTTGCTAAATGAAGCTTCGCCAGATGATAGAGCTCCTGGGGTTCCAAAGTGGATTCACCTGATATAGCCTAACATGTGAGTGGACACAGATTACTCCTATGCTTCAACACAAAGGATCCTGCTTCCTCATCAAGCAATGTGCCATACAGAGAAGTTGATTTTTGTGTGCAAAACAGATTTTCTGCACAGAAATCCCATTTTGGTACAAAACCACCATGTGTTGAACTCTTCATAGTGAAGCATTGCATTGCATTCAGGATATCCCCATGCTCATGAAGCTTCATTTTCAACAGTAGTTTCCATTTCTAGTCAGGAAACATATTTTTCTTTCCATTTCTAGTCAGGAAACATATTTTTGCACAGAAGTCTGCTTTTTTCTGCAGAAGGCATGTTTTTCTCCTCCTAAGGTAGCATATTTTAATACAGCAAAGCCAAAGGCATTTGTGCACAATTATTTATGAATTAACCCCCAAAGAATCATGTTTTTCTTCTTTTTTTCAGCTGGGTATCTTAAAATGAGGGGTACTCTTTGTTCATCAAAACTGTGCATATTAACCTATATTCTTTGCATTCTTAACATAGCCAACATTGCATTTATGAAGTACTAGGATTCACAACCATGGATTCATAAAAGGCTGCTCAATTGACTAAGTTAACAGTAGCATATGGAGGTCCTAAATGGTTAAAAAAACCAAAACAAAATGGACTGCACCATATTATGCCTCTGTTAACAAAAGGTTAAAGGTTACCTCAGTTAATGGTCTGGCCTGTCGGTCCCTTTTATTACAACAGCAATTTATCAACAAGCACAATAAATAACGTCTTTTTTTCTCTGGCACTGAAGTGAACAAGCTTACCATCTTGACACTTAGAAAAGTTGACAACTACTTCCAAGATAAGGGTGTTTTTTACCTTCTAGTTTTAATAAATAAATCAATGCAAGTTTATACCATTTCTCAGTGGGGCATCTTTGTTGAAAAGTGAATTTAGTTTAGAATGTAGAATCACAAAGTAATCAGACATCTTTTATTGTATTGCCAGGAAAAATGGCAGTACTTTTGGAAAAATAAGGAAGTAGTCCAATATCTGCCTGAATCGTGCTCTTTCAGGATCTTATCACATTCTCATAACCAGAGAATAAACAACCACTGTTATAGCAGGAAACAGGAGTAACATATGCTCACGTGAACCTGCCAATAATGCTCTCACACTACAGCCTTTAATAAATATTATTCTCCCACACTGCACCATGTATTCTTTTTTACAGCGATAATGCTAATAGATAAATAATGGCATAGAAACAGTTTCCTGCATACCAACTGGTCCAAATTGTTGCAGCACACAAAGAATGGGCCACAAACAGTTGTAGCAGAGCAAAGAATGGGCACATTTTCAGTGGCAATTATCAACCTTGCATGGTAGACTAGTTGAATGCTTTATCGCCCTTAATTCTATAAATACACAGAATGGCAGACACAATATTCAGCAAGGCCATTTCACTAAAATGACAAGCAATTGCTCATTTCACTAAAAGATTTCATTACCCCTTAGGGGAATCTCCTTGTGGAGAGAAAAAGTGGGGTATATAAATAAACATAGTAACAGTAATAATAATAATAATAATAATAATAATAATAAGTCGTCACCAGTAGCCTCAACTGGAGTCTCGGGATCCTAAAGACTGGCGGTTCTTCCCACCTGAGAAAGAACTATGGATCTTTCTCTCCTTTATTAGCAAAATGAAAGTGCAGTTGTTTTTCCATATTTGCAGGTTTAACCTTCAGAGCCATGTTTTATGATACAACGCTTTAAAATGAGATGTCCAGAGAGACAAAGTTCTCATTATATCTGAATTATTATTATGCTGAATGTGCTTTGGAATTTAGGTTTTGAAAAACAACCAGCTACATACATGTATTATTTTTATTCAATACAGCCAGTGGTTTTTTAAAAAACCAGGAACAAAAGTACAGCAAAAGTATCCTTTTGCTGAATAGACTTTACAGCACAATATATTTTTTTATGTCTGTAGATGGCTTATGGTATAAGAAAAATGTTCTGCTGTAACCTTGTACATACTACAAAACAGTTTATGTGTTTATGAGTTAACATTTCCTTACATTTGAGGTGTCTTGGACTGAAGAAGGAATGAAATGTTGAAAAGAAGTGGGTACAATAAAAAATTCAGGTATTCTGAAAACTTTCTTCCTTGGTGGTTTTCAATTGCTTTCCCTATTTACTGATTTCATGTCTACACAGAAAACTGCAACAATTGGGTTAAGGCAGGCGGAAACTTCAGCAAAAACAACTTACATTGACAGACTCCTTGCTGTTGTACTTCACTCGTATCCTGGGTTCTTGTATGACATCCAGGTTTGACCCTGTGACAGTCAGAGGTGTGTGGCCACTGAGGGGAAGCAGAAGACTTTGGGTTAATGAGGTTTGGCAAGGGGAACTGGGGCAGAGCCCAGTGCCTATGTTTCTGGCAAATACAAATGCTTGTTGAACTCAGCAAGATGTTTTCCACAGGCTGTATTGGAATGAGGTGACAGAGTAGATTAATATACCACCATCCTGACTGTGGCTAGAGCTGTCTCACAAGTTAATTGGATTTTCTGGTCTCATCTGTCCCCCTAGTGGGCAGTTATGTCTTCTATGTAACATTTCCCGGAGCTGGAAGGAGCAAGAAATAAGACCTATGACTAAATAAAGACAGTAAATTCATCAGAGGGCTTAATGGTTTTCATAACATTTCCATAATGTTGCACATTCTTAAGTAAGGGAATCTGGGCATGAAAGAAGGAGCATAATGCAGGAAAAAAATGATTACATATAGGGCAGAGATTTAAACAGAAAAAGGTAATAAAAAGAGAGGTATCATGAACCATGCAAATAACAATGAAGTTGTTCATTCATAATCATAATAAAACTTACAACCATTTCATATCCTCTATTTCAAAACAACCTCCAAAGTGTTAGATGTCAGAGAAGGTGTTGGAATCATGATTATACACCCCTGGAGGGAGGCACTGTGAACCAGGAATTACATAAAGAGAACCCTGCCTATTCACAGGAGTGATGTCAAGTGAAGGCAGGGATTTGACTTGAAATAAGCAGGTGTACTCAGGATATCAAGTTTCAGGTCCACACTCAAACAGACTTGAAGTTAGAACATCTACATGGAAGCTCTGGGTATGGCTCAGGGACTTTGCTGAATGATACATTTTTAGTTGAACCTTGTCAACGATTCCTATGTTTCTTGCATATAAAGGCATCCCTCAAGTTATGAACAACATAGATTTCAATTGTAAGTCAAAACAGGTACATTTTAAAGTGTAACTCCAGCCAAAAACATATACTTTTTAGCTTTTGATAGCATAGAGAATGGTTAACACTCCTGTGGTGTTTGTTTTGCTGACTCTACCTCTGTTCAGAAGATTTCATCCCACTTTTTGTCCCTGTGATAATTGGATTTTGTAAAATTTGTCATGTTATGAAAACAAGAACTGGTGATAAAGCTCCAGTTGAGACACATTTTCCCCATGATAACTTTTTCAGAAGTAAATTTCCCTGCCTAGGGATAGATTTCTCTCATTTCTAGTTGTCTTGCCCCTATTTATAATTATAGACCTTATCAAATTGATGAAAATAAATGTCTTAGGATACTTAGAGCCTTCTTCAGGAATGGAGCCCCATGGCAGCTATCACACTATGTTATGTGACTTCCAGCTGTTGCTCCGTTCCCAACCGGCGTGAAAGCATCACCAGATGCTTTCCTCATGACATGGGAGGCTTCCTGTGTTGATGAGGAAAGTGTCACTGTGCTGGAGCAGCACCTACCATTTTGCCACACCTGCTGGCAAAACGGTATGGGGGGGGGCTCCCTCATGTGATAAGGTCATATGAGTCCTTTGTAAGTCAGATGTTTGTAACTTGTGGACTTCCTGTACTTATTTTTGATATGCAAAGCTTTCAAAAGAAGGTGTCTAAGCTTGGACTGTAACTTGGCATATGATCATTGTGTTGTACTTGAGTAGGTTCAAACCCTGGATAATCTTAGAGCTTTGGCTTTTGTTCTCTCTCACCTGATATATCTGACATGTTAGAAGGCTCTGTTGGTTTGACCTCCATTTTGTTTTATAGACCTAATTTTTGATCCCCTTTGTCAAGCTCATTTACTTGTGGTATGTGATCTTAAGAGTCTTGAATGCCTCCACAATTTCACCCAACCCAATGGGTACTTAAGCCTTGAAAATCAGACAATGAAATAGGGAAGCTCATGGGGATACGAACTGAGGAGGCTAGAAAAATGGACAGCAAACCACTGAGCACACAAAACTAAGGTATTTGATGTCTGACAGCAGAAATTATGGAATGTTAAAGTTATAAGATTCTATTGTTTCCATTATGTTGTGCAAATCGGTCTGAGTCCAATGCCTTTAGGGATTTCTACAGCCAGTCCAGAATTTTGTCTTAAGGGTTCACCTCTGCCCTGTTTTTATGAGAAGTCTTTCCATCTCCCACTGGTCAGATTGCACTTGACAATTTTCTCATTTGTATGCAACTCTATGAGAATCCAAATAATTGTAATGGTAAAGAAATTGACCCAGCATTTTAGAAATTGGTCAGCCAAGAAACATGCACTTCAGAACACACCTGTAATATGGAGATATAAAGCTTGGATAAACAGATTATCTTGATTAGCATCAGTTTTTAAAGCATTGGTTGTTAATGTTCTTGTTCTATTCCTGACTCTCTGATGCTCTCAAGAAGAAGCCTTTAATGAGCAATTGTGCATTTCTTCAGCAGATGGGATTGATGATGGGGCTTCATTTGCTCTTCCGGAATCTCGTCAGAGATTGCCATATTTGTAATTGCCTTAGTAATTACAACTGAGTTAATAACTCTGATTTTCCAACTCAGGGAACAGAGATGCTCTAGCTGACTGACTAGCAATGATTAATTCATGGATGGGTGACATATTATAGTTGGTCCTTTTGCAAGATAATGAAAGGAACTGAGATGTTGTTCACAGGCCAGATACCACTACCAGTAGAACTCAGGAAATCCACGGACTGTGTAACTGTGCCTTATCCATAAATCTCCAGTATTTACACAGGTGAAACAACTCTTCAAGGACCTTAGAAGATGGGTGTTGACAATGGAATCCAAACTAACTGATGCAAAATACAGATTAATAGCTCTTTCTCCCACAGAGAGGATTTGACTATGTTTTTTTCTTTTCTGTGAGAGGTGATAGTGTTGATTGGAAGAATGGTGCTGTAATTATCCAAAAATAGCGGAAACTGACAAACAGTCTGGATTTTATCTGGCATTCTTTGGAGGTGGGGGGTGGGGGTCTTAGACATTTCCTATGCTCTGTACATAGTGCGGACTACCAGAACATTTCAAGATTTGTAATGTTTTATATGAAATAGGAGTTGAATGGATTTGTTTTACTCTGCCATAAATGTAAATTGCATTTCTAGAATTTGTATTTATAAAAACATTACTTCTACTAGAACATTTCAACTTTTTTAATAGTCTTGAAAGAAGCAGGAAAGAAATGAATATGATTGTTCTTCTGGTGATGGTTGGACAATTGTCCCATCTATAATTCAAAATAACGCCTATCATCAATTGTATTTCAATTGTTCAAACAAGATGAAACATGTTTAGCTGTTTCTGAAAAATACTTAAAAGCTTTAGCAAAATGGCTTTTTGGCTGGCTAATACATATCTTTACCACATCTAGAGTTTTGTTGGCATGATTGATACAGACCTGGTATTAGGTGTACCTTTTATATGTGATCTAGAGAGTAAGACACTAAAATACCAATTCTTTTCCATAGCACTCACTGTGTTTTAACCTTTATTTATGCTGTGGGCCTAGGAACAGGTAATAATAACCTGACTAGAGCAGTATTCTGAGCAGAACACTAGCACCAAGAAGATTGAGCTGATCAAAGTAAGGACCCATCCAGACAAGGCCCATAACACGGAAGCTCCCACAGTTTCACTGAAGGCATCCAAATGACGTCTCCGGTAAAACTGAATTAATGGAGTATGGGCCCTATGGGGATTTATTATAGTAGTCCAGGGACTACCAAGGGGACAGACCCCACAGCCCAATTTGCAAAGAGGGAACCCATCCCCTCCCCAAATCTCCCCGTAAAACCTTTAAAAGAAAAGAAAAACATACTGGGCTACCACTACGCCTCTCTGCATGCTTCATGGAATGTACCAATGTAGTGCTAAGAGACTGGGGGGGGGGGGGGAATTGTTCCCCCTGCCCACTTTTTGGTGCAACATTTGTACATGCCAGGAAGCATAATGGTGGCCCAGTAAGTTTTTCTTTTATTTTAAAGGTTTTAGAGGGGGATTTGAGTTGTCCCTGTTGTAGCATGGTTATTACCACACTACAATGAAGGCAACACGCAGAAATGCCAGCTTCTTTTGGGTGCCCACGTGGGTAACCATTTTCCCCCCACAATAAATTGCTGTCTAGAAGTGGCCTGAGTATCCTGTTATTTGATGGCATATTCGAGCTTCACACTAAGCATTACATTATGTTTAGATAAATGATGTGAGCCTGGACCTAAGTTATTAAAACTTCCGGTTCCGGTATGGCGGCGGTTAGCAGCAAGAATCAGAGCTGCGCCGATTAAAATCTGAATCTGAGGGAATCCAGGGCGAGCCCCCCTCCCTCGACCACCCAAACTCGGGGAGAGAAACACCTGTCAGGGGCTTGAGCAGCCTGGGGGAATCCCAGGCTGGGGAATCCCAAGGAACACAGAAAAAGGATCCGGCAAGGCGGAGGAAGGAAGGAAGACAAGGGAGCACCGCCATTACAACGCGGCCGGCTCCCCTCCCCTCCCCTCAACAAGGATAAGACCCTAAAGCCTGGAATAAGACTCTAAACTCTAAAGCCTCACCGGTGAGTGTTGGGGCTCTAGCCACCCCCCTTGCACTGTGAAGAGGCGGTCTGCCCGGCCGGTGCAGCTGCCGAGGCTGCCGCCAACGTTGTAGACGCCGCCGTCGCCGCCATTACAGCTGATTTGCTCCTCCCTTGGAGGGTGGGGAAGGGAAGGGACAGGCCGCTGCCTGTTAGCTTGTCATCACGGTCCGGGCCGCAGCGGGTGTTGTCCCCCCCCCTCCCCCCCGCTGAGCTGCTCCGCCTCGGAGCGTGGGGAAGAGACAAGTTCGCTGCCTGCCAGCTTGTACGGGCCCGCTGGGTCTGCTGCCTGCCAGCTGGATACGGGCCCGCACTTCCATCTGCGGCGGAAGCCTCGGCGGAGGCCTCGGGTGTGGCCGGACCGGGTGCTGCCTCCACGTGTTCACCCCCAGCAGAGGCCTCTACAGCAGCCTGCCCGGGTGCCGCCTCCGCGCTCCATTCTCGGCGGGGGT